GTTCTTCCAGTCCTCGAATATTGCTGTTCTTTCTTCGGTTTAATGAACGCCTGCGACCGTAATCAAATCGAAAATGTTCAGAGGGTTTTCACCCGGAAACTGTTCTCTCAAGCTTCGTCCAGTATTTCGTATACTCAGAGATGTCAGCTGGCGAACATGAAGTTTTTGTGGGTTAGAAGAATCGAAGCTGGCCTTTGCTTCCTTTTTCGCATCAACTCTAGCTCCAGTCTTCCGCACATTGACACTCTCACTCTGAGAGATCGGTCTTATGCCACGCGCAACTCCTGCATGGTGGTTCCGCCGCCTCTTTGTACTACATCTAAGCGCTCCCTCTTCTTTGCTTCCAAATATGCCTTCCTTTGGAATAATCTTCCGCCTGAAATTAGATTATCGCCTAAGTTACTGGTATTCAAGTCGAAATTACGCAACCATCTTACACCGGAGAGCATAAAGGCACTGTTAACGGTCTCATTACCGAACACTCAGATTCTTGACTTCGAGAAGGGTCCTCCTGGGATTTAGTGGTAGATAAAGTGGTAACTCTTAATTATATCATTAGAAACCCCTGTTTTGAATTAATTTCTAAATCCACTGCTATCACTCCTCCCCCATAGCGACAATTTTCGCGGTTTTTGATGTCATCTCCCGCATTCCGACCTCATGCGGTCTGTCGACGCTCACGGCGGAACGCTCAGTATTCACTGTCTACTAGTAGTTCGGCCGTACCTCCCTTCCTCACTGCTCGGCTGAGCTCGAAGCGTGCTGTGACCGATCGCTTCTCGGTTCCTCTCGTCTGGCCCCTTCTGACGCGGCGTACCAATCCGGCCCAGACGATCTCAATTGTGAATCCCGTATACAATGCCATTTGCAAGCCAGTCCTGTCTGACCCACATTCGACATTTTTTTGCTACCCTGACGATGACCGACAACATTCCGTTATAAACCGCCACCTACAGGCCTGTCCTGCTCGCTTTTTTCGGTTATTATTTTTATGGAGGGTCGTTATTTTCTCCTGTAAAATCAATCCAATCATTTTTAACTTTTTGTAAGGAGTTTTTTTTCACCCCTCAATCATCATGTTTCTCAATGGAATTCTAATTCAGAAACTATGAATTGCATTTTGTAAAGATTCGGCCTACCTCGTCTAAAACTCGCATGCAAATTTATTTTAACTTGCTTTGATGGGACCCCGACGGGTCTTTAATAAAAATTATCTATCAATCTATCTATAAGAGGACTGTGAAGTCCCAGAGCTTCTTATTTAACCAAGAGTCTTTCGTGTGGAATTTTATCAAGGGCATTACTATGATCAAACTAAATATTGACAACTAATAATCAATCATTATGAAGAGAAGTAAGTATATTGAGAAACGACAGATGGCATGTTTCACTAGAGCGATCTGGTAAAAAACCATACTGGAATGGGCTAATAACTTAGCTAGCTAGTCAAAAGTCGGTAATTTTCAAGGCGATAATTTTTTCGAAGATTTTGTCTATAGAAGGTGTTTCATGGACACCTCGATAGTTCTGAACGTCAGAGGGGCAACCAGACTTAAATAATGGAATAATAATAACAGTTTTCCAATAGGCTGGAAGGAAGCTATTTACGCGGAATACTGAAAAGAGTTTGCCAAGCAGAGGAGGAAAATCTCTCAGCTGTCTTATAAAAGAGTTTGGGATATTGTCCGTACCTACTGAGTGAGAGTTAGGAAGATGGTTTATGAGTTTTTGAATAGTTTCAGGAGAAAAATTAATGATACTGAGAGATGCATCAGAAAACGGAGGAATTAAAGGGATTGGGTCAGTTTCAATGGTGAAATGCTTGGTAAAGAATAAATTTAACATTTCTGCCTTGCCTGACTCCTCTGCAATGAAGGTATCGTTGGTACTAAGCAAAGGCGGAATCACTTGGTGGGTTTAGCAGATGATCTTTGACGGAAGATCTGAGCAACTGATTTAGAAGCATTCACGTCACAAATAGCTAAAGACTCTCTACGCCTATCTCGCACGAGCCTCATTTTCGAAGCTTATTCAAACATTTCAATGATTCTTAGATGAAATGATAATGAGCTCACAGAAGGACCTTTAAGCTGCTTCCGTAGCATTGTAAGTCTGTTTTTAAGAAAGTGGGAGACAGCGATGGAAGTGGTACTCGATTTAAGCGTCTTCCGTGGAATTAGGCCGAGAAGACCTTCTATTACGCATTGTAATCAATTGTTGAAAAAATTAGATCATTCTTCGAAAAAAATATTGAGCCAATCAAGAGTGCTTGTAAAAGTATTTACTTATTCCTTGCCCGTGACGCGCGCCGTCATACCACCGTGGAGCTGACGCCATATCTGAGTGAATCGATCGGACACCCGAATTTCAGCATAACTTTGCACATTCCTTCGCGGTTCACCGTGTCTAAGGATTTCGTCCAATTTACGATAGTAAAGTAGGGGTGGATCGACATCCACTGACACTGCTCCTGCATTTGGCGGATGGCGGATAAGTCATTGGTGCCACGGAGACGGCTTGAGCCGCATTGGCCATCCGGCAGGTGTCCTTTTTCTAGACGGTTGTTGGGACGGTTAAGGAGTATGCAAGCGAAGATCTTCATGGCGATGTTCGAGAGGGAAATGACTCTGCGGTTGTCGCAGATTTGGGGGCTCTATTTCCGCTTGTAGAGACAGACGATCATGGCATTCTTAAAATCCTCCGGGACTTCTCCTTGACGCTATATCTCCTGGAAGAGCGTTGGAAGGTGGCTCATAAGTTGGGGACCGCCGTACATGTAGAACTCTGCAGGGATTGCGTCCGATCTACGCACTTTCCCGCTGGAGAGCTGCTGCCCGGCCTTGATGGTTTAGTGGAGAGAGGGTGGCAGGTCGATATCGACGCTGGTCTCCACTTGAGTCAGACAGGCGATGGCGGCGTCGGGGCTGGTGGAGGTATGATCGAGGACGCTTCCGTAGTGCTCGGCCCAGCCTCAAAGCATTTGTGTCTTCTCGGTGAATAGGATATTGTCGTTGGCGCTGAAAAATGAGAGCTGCCTTTGGCTGTGGGACTGTACAAAGACTTGATTGCAGCAAACTAGTTTTTCCATTCGTTACGGTCCGCGTGGGCTTGAATTTCCTCGGCCATGCGAGTCATCCTAGCGTCCTGCATCTCCCGCAGCCGCTATGCACAGGGCAGCGGCAACGGTAGCGGACTGCTCTGTTATCGTCGTTAAGGTGGCTGACGTGGGTTTTGTGAAGGCGCTCGTCCTCGGCGAGCAGATCGTTGATGGCAGCATCGTTGTCATCGAATCAGTCCTGGTATTGACGATGTGCGCGGCCAAGGAAAGCCAGGAGGGTTTGTAGTGGGCAGCCATAATGATCGGACTGGTGTCATTGTTCAAGACCTTGCTGCCTCAAGGTCATCCACCCTTTTGCAGTGAGACGTTCCAGACGCGCTGACCTGAGGTCACATGACCAACAGCTCGGGCATATCTGCGTCCGCGCAGTCGCAGGTGCCCATGAAGTCACATGAACGCACCTACCCCCATGCAACCACAACCTAAGCCACTGGGACACCGCCCCTCGGCAAATGCACCAAAGACTGACTGGGCACTACTTGAGCTTGGCCCGCGAGCCTACAAAAGCGGCTGACACGACTATCTCAGGGACTCTCAGGCATGACTGTACGCAGTCAACACCAACCCTGGCTTCGCCAGTGGCCACTGCCACCTTGGAGGACAAATCTGTGTTTTCGTGCACATCAAAGCCCTCATTCTGGTTCTATTCGTCTTCTCCTTCCAACATTGGAATCTGAACCGACGATGGTAGCGCACAGATAAGGACATATTCTCACCGCTTGGTCGCTACAGGTTGACAGGATCGTGCCCATCGGTTCTTCATAATAGCGTTCTCATCGGCAGCTGCGGCGGTAACCGGAAAGTTAGGTGGTCGCCGATTTAGCTTTTTGCTGAAATGGAGATGGTAGCAGACAAAAACAACGAAGCAATATTCAGTTTACCATGCGGTCGTCTTGAAGAGTATGAAGCGATGGTCGCTCCACACCATCGGCATACGGGATCACCTTTGTCGCCAGCCTTTGTCTCTCGTTCCCAGCCTTTACCTCGATTCATAAGCCGGCTGAAAAAACACTTTCATATGCAAGCTTGATAACAGAAACACTACATTGGCTCCGTTTTCTAAAATAACTTTTAGGGGTTTTGGGGATGTTTGCAGGTCACGACTTGAGTCTGTTTGACAAGTCGGAAGACTTTTTTACGGTGAATACTTAGCCATTCTTCAGGAGCACCGGCGTATTGATGAAGAGGTCTAGGTCGTGCATCACCCAATCCTACGGAATTCAGGACGTGGACTCTGGGGCACCCCTTATTACGATATTTTGTTCACGATTTACGTACGGGCTCATTATTGTCCCACTCCCCACACTAAAACGATATGTTGCCACTGTGGTACTCCCGATGGATGATGGCGCACCGACTTTAGACGGATTTCCGTCCGACGTTGAGGTTGTAGGACCTACATTTTCGCATAACGTATTAACAAAGAATCGTGAATCTGGGCCTGAAACGACCACACACAGAATATCCACATCTTGGTTTACGGCAGGTATAAGTTAAACATTGGATAGACGCAGCAGAGATTTGCCACCTACACAGGCAGCACTCATATAGCCAAAAGGTGCTCAGTTTATGCATCAGTATCATTAATATGTCTCTTGTGACCATGCCTCAGGAACTTCGCTACAGGCGCAGACGATTCACCACTCAAGGAGTAGTAAGAAATCAAGACGGCCAAAAAGAATCCCCTGAGTTGGTTTAAATGCCCACCAAGAATGACTGCTGCAGCTTATGCGATAATGTCATCGGACTGCGGGCACGGACTCGTCGGTTTGCCTGTGCCCTAAAAATGAGATTAAGCTAAGCAGGTCGGCAGTTAACTAACCAGAATTCAAGATCCTCCGAGATTTCAAACGTCATACGTTTGATAATTTTCGAAACCTATCGAAGCTATTCTATTCTGTTCAGTCGGGCCAGATAGCCTAGTTCTCGTCCCGTACCTTTAAAGGAACCACATACTTTTCAAACCACTTTCTCATCCACGTCTACCAGAAGACCACTTCCCTCAACGCGGACATCTGTCGCTCTCTTGGCTTCCTTGACGTATTGACAGGAGGGCTTTGGATATCTATTTATCTATCGCCTCTTGTATTCGCGCGTGTCGTCCGTGTTTTTAGTGAACTTTCACACACCAGAAATAGATATAAGACTTTTGTCTAGTTAATTGGCCGGCAGTTTCATTCGAATCGCCCCCACGTATAATTCTGTTTCTTTTGGCAGCTGTAAAGTTCCTCGCACTAATGAAACAGAAATCAAGGTAGAAGCCCTTTTAGTGCACCATTTCAAGTTTTAGCTGAACTATATTGTGGCGAAAAAATGGAAAAATGAGTGTGTGCTGACGGTATCTGGTGCATTCTTGTGAGTTAAGACTAAATAAATTGCTAATTGCGTTTATTGCATTGTTCTTTTTTTCTTGTTCTACATGCAATTCCAGTTCCTATACTTAACATGCAAGGATTACCTATCCAGCACTTTCTCAATGGTGAATTTTCATGAATTTATTTTTCGAGCACTCATATTTATCAATATGTACACGCTCTTTGGTTTTCTCAGAACTTATTGCTTGTATTTTCGCTCGCTGAATGCTATTTGAGGCGCCAGTTAGTTTTATGTGCATCCCACTTTATTAAAAGCCCGACGTTTTGGGATTGATTTTAAAATCCGGCTACTGTAGCGTGGCCTCTTGTATGTCAAAAATTTTAAAGTCGTTTTTTGCTTATTAATCAGTTGACGGACTAATATGAGTGTTTTAGTTCGATAGTTGCAGCCACGAATCTTACCGTTGCTCCGAAAGTAGTTCAATAGTGGCATGGGTGTGAGTCTGTATGTGACAGACTTGTCAGTAGTAACTGAACTGCCTCATTCCCTCTTCTAACATCTGCCATATTTGCAACTAGCAAACCAGATTTATGCGTTACTGAAAAGAACAACCGCAGCAAGGAGACGTGGGCTCTGTGTCTGCGCTGCTGACAGTTTTCCTGTCTGCCGGCATTATATTGTGTACGATGACATCCGACAAGAAAATAGAGCTTGGAACCTAGTGCCATAATGAGCTCAGGTGATGAGTGTCTTTAATTGTAGTGGTAGTGTTTCGTTATTCTAAGGAAGCTCTGATGTTGTTGACATTGCGATGCAAAGGTGTCCATAGTGTCCTCTGGTAATAATAAGCAAGACTGTCTGGAATCACCATTTCCCTCGTTTCTCATCCCGAGATATGAATGTTAACTGTTCGAAGCCATGTTAAACGATAATTTAAGCTGATAAGTAGAGAATGACACCGGTACTGATAAAGTTATTTCTTTCCCAACCTTCGTCATGCCTAAACTTATGCTGCAGTCGTCAGATAGCCGCACTACGAGGTCTCTGTATACACCCCGAATAAATTCTGTCATCTTCCGTCAATGTATATTTTATTGTAAAGCGTGTATGCTAGGTTTTACGTGCTCTCATTATCCCTTCAGGAACAATGACCTCCACAAAGCAACAAAAAATTGCTGAGTCGCTTTTTATCCTGAACCATCGGCAGCTGGGCGTGTTAAATCGGCTATATGCCATGAAATGCACCCTTGGCGACCCGGCCACGCGTCCAAACTTCATGCCTGGTGTTGACAAGGCCTTTGATAGTGCCTGGAAAACACTGCTTAAAAAGTTTCCCGTTTTCGATACCAAAACTGCTGCCTCCACTCTTCAAGTGTTTACCTCACAAAATGAGATCGTAAAACAGATGTCCGGATTCTATTACAATCTTGTCGACGTGCTGGAGGTCAAGGATAATGTGCTGGATCTCCTGCTGCGCATTTCTGTTTGTGGTGTGAAACTGGAGATTGCTGTTAACTCTGAACTTACACGACTCTACCTGGAGTTGATCGCGAACTACTTTTCGATGATGTACTTCCTCACATGTTTACCAGACTTGAAGGCCATACTTGCATTGTTTAACTTTCTATACGAGCAAGCCAACGGAAAGGCCGAGCCCAGCTTCGGGAGGATGGCTGAGCGCTTTACTGACTCTCCGGAGGTCATGATTAAGAATTTGCATTTAGATGTCAATCCACATTCGCAAATTATTGCGGGCGCGCTGGCTTCCCTGGGGGATCTTTTTGGACGGCGTCTAGTTCGAGCCCAAAACTGGCGTGATGGCCTTTTTCTAGACATTCTATCAGAGCCTACGAAAATAACGCACACCGCCCTCAGCGATCAACTTTCCTGTGAGCTTCTTCCCTACGAGGTGATGGAACGGTGGGTTATATTTGGTTACCTAGTAATATATCCTACCTTGACCGAGGATGACGATGCCTTCAGCCGACTTCGACTGGCACTACGGAACAGTTATGTCGTTGTACTCTACCGCGATGAGGTAGTTCACGTGCACAGTCTGCTAACGTCCTTCTTGGAGACAGTGTGGACTGCGAGGTCTACATCAAAACGACTGAATGACATCAAGGAGTCTCTATCGATTGCATGCTCTCAAGCTCCTGGCGTGCACTCAGATCGGCGCTCGTATCTACGCACGGCTCTCCGTCAACTGCACTCCGTCTTGGCTGACCAGCCGGGTCTCCTCGGACCGAAAGCTTTCATAGTCTTTTGGGGGCTGTCCTATGCCACAGACGAAATTCATTGGCTCCTGCGACACTCCTGTAATCTGCCTTTGAAAAAAAGCGTAAATTCGGACGATCTTAATGACCTGGCTCTACCTGAGCTTCTGTTCTACGTGGAGGACCTCCGCAACCTACTTCGTACCTATTCACAGGTTATCCAGCGTTTCCACATTCAACTGTTATCCTCCTATGATGCCCCAGGTTTGGAAGAATACTTACGGCCTGTCCTTTCTCGACTGCCGATTGACGAAGTGGAGATGTTTAATGGTATGCTGACACAGTTGCACGATGTTGGTGATGGTCGTCAGACTCTGGACAGGAATGCGCATATGGTACTCTGCGATTTCTCCGGCCTACGTCTAGATTGGCTGCGTTTACAAGCCACACTCTCGGCAAAGGATTCCCCTCTCAACTTGTGTGAGTACCCACGCCTCGCGGAACACCTGCACTCCACTGTATTTCACACAAAGCTTGTTGACCAACTCGACGACCTACTGCGTCAGGTCTGCGATCTATCCATTTTCTACTTCTATCGCGCAAAATTTGAAGAGATCTTTATCCGCAGTCTCAACATCCCCAGTCAGTTGCGCTATACCGGTGTGTTTCCCACCCTCTGTACATACTTTACCCAGGCTTCGCATGATTTGTGTCCCAAAGAGCGCTTTCACATCGGCTGCGCCTCTGCGGCCTTGGCTAAGAAATTTTGCGCTGATCTCGTGGATGCCATCTGCACCTGTTTATTCAATCGCATGGATGAGATCTGCGCCCTGGTTGAACAACTGGCCCCACAAAATGCAGTAGCCTGGCTGCCCGAGGAGATGTTGGGAAAGAAGCGCGAGGCTGCCAGTAAGTCGGCTGCCGACCCTTCCCACACCCACAACGGCTACGCTACGATGCGCTATAGTGATCGGCAGGGAGCAAAAACGTCAACGTCCAGTGGCTCTGGTAGTAAGGGAGGGCCTCCGGTTGTCAAAGTTACGCCCGGTGCTGAGAGCTTTCGCCGAGATCGTGCTGAACAAACCCAGGGCGATAGGACTCTTTTCACGCTTAGCCAGCTCTGTTTCGCACTAACCTACCGGCGAGATATCCAACTCCCTGGTGAGGTCTTTGATCCACGGATGATTCTTCAGTCAGAGTTGCAGTCAAGACTGTTCGAAGGCCTGAATCCCACCATACAAGTTGGGTAGGTAAAACCTTGCATACAGACGTATTTTACGATCATGGTTGTACCTTTTACCACTTTGCTATGCGATAAGTAGTAAGCACGCTCTCAAAAGCGATCTGAGCACGAGGCAGATGGGCGCGTACAGCCGTTTATAGGCATTTGCAAGTTGTCAATGGGAATTCACCATAGTGTAAGCCCAAGACATGCTTGATGATGAGTCAGACGATTAAATGCCACATGCCTTACCTAGTAAACCGCGTGTTCCGGATTTCCGAAGAATGTCTGGTCTTTGACGCTTTGTTGAGACTGAGTTCTCAGAAAGAAGTCATGTATGGAGCGACCGAGACGTATGTGAAATTGGCCAAAACACTGACCGTGCTACTTGGCTAGATCTGCTCAATTAAACTAAACGGCGCAGTCAATACCATGCCCTTTACCTGGGGATTAGGCCTGCCTTTGCAAGCGAGTGCATTATTGACAGTTCTCTACGATAGCCCTTACAGTACTACTCAGACTTCGTGGACCGTCGTTTGAAATCCGTGAATGTGCTGCCACATTTTAAGGATTGTCTAAATGGCACAAAATTCCTGCACGAAAGGAACAATCTAAGATACGTGACTGCGTGCCTGTCCTTCTAGTTACCCACAGTAAGCTGACTGGGGGGCATACTTACCGTCAACTCTATAAAAATTCGACCATATAGAAAATGATTACTTGGCTGTCCTCTACAACATGCTGAATCTGAAGATGCAATCGATCGGCTGGAACCTAAGGGTTCCAGGTAAATGACACGGGAGTCCTAACACTTTTTAAATGCAGTTCCTACCCCCCTTCGAGGAGGCCAGGGACTATTGGAAAAAATAATATAATCATGGATGTAATGCCGGATTTTAATAATAATTTGCAAATCCACTTCATTCAAGGCGATCTTGATGTTTGCAACCAATAGGCATAACCTGCCGATGCGTTTCTTTCCTAATGGTGCACCGTCAGGCCATCAACTACAGCTGCTTCCATTTCTTGCTTGGTTTTGGATGCGCGTTCAGCCCTCAGTCAGTGAAATGGGCGATCCTTACAAGTCTGGTGACTGATTCGGCAATTGCGGAGCGATCCACATACCTATCTGCGTTCTAAAGTTTTGTTCAATGAGTTTTTAAGCACCTGACTAGATCCGAGCAGATCGTCTGCCCGTCTACACGTGCCATACACGAGCTGACCCCAGCACAATGTGCGGGCTTTCACGAAAGGGGGCAGAAACTCCGATCTCACGTGTGTGAGAATGCCATGGCAACCACGTTGAAAGGGAGCTGTTGAGCTTGAATCTCAGTCCTTGAGCCAGTCACTCCACATACCGCACAGCACTGACCACTGCCGCATCAGTTGACAAACTTCTAAGCTGCGACATTTGGCGCGTAGTGGTTTTTATTATAGTGACGAATACGTTAATTTGCCGTCGGGGTGGGTTCCTCAGTGTCATACCAGTGCCCATGCCATAACTACCTCCACAATACCTCGCGGATGCTATACTATGCCTTAAAAGGTAAGCATCCCGACGTGATCTTCTTGTCCCACCATTCTGGTTCAAGTTGATCTTTGTCTCCTCAGTACGTAGGACGCTGCTACAGAGCGGTGATAGGCTTCTTAGTCTCTATGGCCTCTTAATTGGCGACTTTGAAATTTTGCTGTTCCCGACCTCACCCATTGTTGTGTAGGGAGTTTTCTTCAGTTACAGTTGTTTTCCGTGTCTTTTGGTCTCCCTGATAGTTTGCCTTGATTTTCTTGCCTGCCACGGACAAATCATCCGACTTTATATTGGAGTTTAACAGGCACAGATTCTAAGTACAAGTACCACATTAAATAATAACTAGACCTATTAACTGCCTACTCGTGAATGGATCAAAGACAGAACAACGCACACCTCCCCCTGAAGCAGCTTGACAGCCATTTGGCTCGCTGTCGAGTGAATCACCTCATTGCGTTTGAGCGTTTCAAACGGTGGGGAGAAGGATCACACGTAATTTCAGCATAAAACGTCGGAACTTCATCATTTAATTTGAACTCTTCAACACTGTGGAAGAGGTCCAAGATAACAGCTAAAATAAAGATTTAAACAATAAATGACAACTTAATTACTTGCCAAATGTACCTATCTCGATGATTCTAGGTGTAAACGGAGCCATACAGTTTTATAAGGGCAGAGTCCACAAACTTGTCCTGATTTCTAAACTGAATACTGAACAAGCAGACCCTGTTAAGGGTGTGGTTGACTAACATGATGATACACAAATTTTGTATCTAAGAGTATGCCGGAATCCTCGTTAGTTAAGGGAGTTGTGTGAAACATCGCCCTTGTTTATCGAAATGATTTGACAGCTTCCCGGCCTTGTCTTGTCTGAGATTGAGAAATGGTCGCCATTCAAGTCTCGCTTTTATTTATCGGCAAGGCTTCTTAATAACATAAGCGGAATCTGTCAAAGTCCACAGTGGAGTTTAGACGATGGTATGCAATCGGAGTCATGGTTTGCTGTCTTCAAAATCAAGCAGAGCTAAAACCGTGAAGAACTTAAAGATTCAGGCGAAGGAGGAGGTAGATTATTTTTCGAATTATGCAGACGGAATTTCGACAAAGACTGTAGAGACTGGGATGGCCACTTTTGGCTGATTCGACGTCGTCATCCAGCTATTTCGCAACCCTAAACCAGGAAGACGTGGTGTTTTAACACTGACCGGTTGGT